AGTAAATGAATTTACCCAACCATTGAAGATACGTGGTAAATAATAAAATGTAGTTAAAATACTAAAATAATGAAATGTATTTATTTATTTGAGTATTACGCCTAACACGAGTAATGAGTAAAGTGGAAGGTAGTAGGTACTTGCCTAATATGGCTGTTAATCACGGTTGTCTACTAGACAACCGTGCTGATAATATCTGTAGTTTTAGACTTACGAAGTTTATTCCAAAAACGTGTAACGTCTTTAATTATAAGAGAGCACGCGAAAGGATATCAAGGATATTATGCATAGACTTTATTTTATTCTGTAATTCTAATATGAACAATAATTTATTCTTCTCATTTCGATGTTTTATGATTTTTTCTTTAAAGTAGTTTTAGGAAACTTAGATCTACCATGGTTCTGGAACGACCTATGTATTTATATCGTCCCAAAAGATCTAATTTAAGAACAACTTATTCTTATTATTATTTTTTACTTATTGTTAGCTGAAAGCTCAGTTAAGCTCTCAAAAAAGTTTTGTAATATTACGATTATTATTTTTCTGTAGGTCAGACGTAATCGGATTTTATAAAATGTATTTTCATTAATTGCCAAGTTGGTTTCTATAATTTTATTCCTGATGTGGTAGGTGGAATAGATTTTATTTCACAATTAATCCTATTTTTCATTTTAGAATTAGAAATAAAGAACTAACTATAAATATAACAAACAACAAATTGATCTCTTAGTGTTAATCATACCTATGCATATTATATAACCTATATAATATACAGACATCATAAACATAAGCTTTGCAAATGAGTAACGTCATTGGAAGGCGTTGCTTAGATTATTGTACTGGCGCCTAAAAAACCAACACTATTTTTTGATCAGGGATAATGGTTATTTTTGTTGAAAATATGTAAGCAAAAACATAAGTCGAATTAAATAAACCCATTAACCGACTACTTCATGTTAATACAAGTAACAAATGTAGTTTTATTATATAAATATATGAATATATGAATATATTGATATGCGCAAAAAATCCACAGTATCAAAATTTTAAGCAACCATATTTTTGCAAATATATGTATTATTTACTTTAGGGGTTTTAATTCCCCACAAAACTGAGAATTGAACGGACTATTCGGTGTGTTATTGAGTTATAGTTAAATTTATAGGAGATAAAATAAAATTATAATATACTTAAAACTTTTTTTTTGTAGCTTCAGCAGCCAAAGAGGTGGGACCAGAAACACGCGACCGAATAAAGGCCAGAGTAAAACGGGTAAAGTTATACTGCTAAATTTATTACTTTTGTATTGGTTTTTTTTAAATTTTCTTTTCTAGCAAATAAGATGATTTATGATAAATTTTAAGATAATAAATTAAAGTGAGTTTATAAACTATGAATAGTGAAATATATATATTTTTTTATATTTTCTATTAGTTAGCAAGTGATATTCTATACTATTCATTAAAACCTAATACTGATAATTTAACACAATTATTACCTTATTATATACGAGTATGTATTTTATATTAACCATATTGGCATTTAATATTTATATCATAGAACAATTTTTTTTAGAAAATTATTAAACTATATTAATGTTTAATGACTAATTTAATGATTTCAAACAAGGGTCCAAATAATTTATTGGGCAAAAATAACCTTTTACCCACTACAATTTTTTTTAACGTGTTAAATGATTATTTGATTGTGTTAAACATATTTAATTTTAATTAAAACAATATTTTTGTGTTAGCGAATAAATTGTGATTTTATTCCGGATCTTTGGTATTATATATCATTAAAAAGTCATTCCTGAATAAATGTTTGCCATGATTAAATGAATGAACAAATTATAGAATTTTATTTAAATAAACATTTATTGAAACAATGTCGATCTCAAGTCACACGACGCGCCGTTGATGATTGTTCTCTGGTTTAAATGCATTTAAATTGTGCAATCAATTTCTAATGTAACAAAATATAATGATATTAGTATAATTACATTTTAGGACAAGGATTTCATTTCGTTATTAAATGATGCTTTAGATGCCAAACCTGTAAATGGCCCATTTAAAACTGAGGATCTTGAGAACGAGGTAAATTTTTTTGAAAATAATACTAAGTATAATTTTAAAAAATGTATTATAAGTAAAAAGTTAGTCGGTCTTCAATGACTATTCGATTTATACAGTTCTCTGGTTTAAATTAATTTAAATTGTGTAATCTGTTTCTTATGTAATGAATTATAATGATATAAGTTTAAATAAATTTCAGCTTATGTTAACCATTTTTGTAACACTTTTACATAAAACTGGTTCAAATTATGAAGATCATAGTACTATTAGTCTGGATATGTTTCGTGGCTATGTGAAAGATTCTGAAATGAGTGAATATGTATTAAACAATTGCCCTGTGAGCGATTTTCGTAACAATATGACTGGTATACATTAACTATAATTAATTTATCATTAAATAATATTTGTTCTTAGCTTCGAAGCGCACGTCATGTGCAACATTTTCTAGAATAAAACATAACTATATAAAATGCAATTATATTAGATTAGTGTAGTAAATTAGATTACATTTACCGGTCTAACTATAGCTGCAGTAGATCATCATACTATTTATTAGGTGGTGGGTTAGATTGAGGAGAGATGGAAAGGGGATAAAACCTCACCTTTTTTTATATATTAACAAGGGGAGGTCACAGTGATGGCGTGACGGATTTTCTTCAAATTGCGTATAAATGTTATTTATGAGAAATAAAACTATCATTATTCGAGCGTTTGTACCAATGCGTCCTAATTTCAGAGATAATCAACTTTGAAATTTACATATTCTTCGGTATATCTTAAATAGACCTATGTTACAGCCATCTGTAAAAACTAAATGTGGTGCGATCGAGCGTGATCGATGCTCTGGGGTGCGCGGTACCGGGTTCGACCCTGGCTACCACAGTAGTGTACTCTTTATGCATTTTTTTACAACCTTTTTTTTAACTTTTATGGTAATTTATATTGCAAGAAGTCTAAAAACTTATAAAATATTTATATTTTATTACTACAGAATACATTTTTACCCTTAAAAGTACTTGATAACCTATATTCAATTCGATTTTTCGTCATTTATTATACTTCTCGTACTGATGATTGAATAACAATTTTTTTTATATAATTTTTATGATGCATATCATCCTAATAGTTGTACAGAAAGTTTTAATAATGTGTAAATAGTGTATATAATGTAATACAACCCATAACTCGTTTTATCTACTAATAAATAATAATAAAATGTATAATTAATTAAAAAGTATTTATTTTTAATATAACAATAATAATATTATTATTATTATTACATACAGGCTAAAAGTCCAAGGTACATATTGTACACATTTCAGATTATGCAAAAGTTACCTGACTTTAATATTGTTCAGATAGCGTTAAGGATTAACACATGGTTAAGGACAATAAATATGTCATTACATAAATTACAGATTGGTAATCATAATCATAACACATATGACATATCTAAACTCCATACATCCCACCCGGGTCGTAATTTCCCCAATGAAGATAAATTATAATATCACCATCAACATTAATACACTACATTGCTTAACAGAGTATAAATGTATTTTTTTAGTCGTAAAAAAATTATTAATTAATATAACCAATAACTATAATAGAAAAATGGAAAAAAAATATTTTTTTAGTCTTACAACTTTACAGGTTAAATTGCACTATACAATAGTGCAATTATACAAAAAAAATTGTTATTTAATCATCAGTACGAGAAGTATAATAAATGACGAAAAACCGAATTGAATATAGGTTATCAAGTACTTTTAAGGGTAAAAATGTATTCTGTAGTAATAAAATATAAATATTTGATAAGTTTTTAGACTTCTTGCAATATAAATTACCATAAAAGTTAAAAAAAAGTTGTAAAAAAATGCATGAAGTACTACGACGGTGGTAGCCAGGGTCGAACCCGGTACCGCGCACCCCATAGCATCGATCACGCTCGATCGCACCACATTTAGTTTTTACAGATGGCTGTAACATAGGTCTATTTAAGATATACCGAAGAATATGTAAATTTCAAAGTTGATTATCTCTGGAATTAGGACGCATTGGTACAAACGCTCGAATAAGGGTCTTTTTATTTCTCATAAATAACATTTATTCGCAATTTGAAGAAAATCCGTCACTCCATCACATTGACCTCCCCTTGTAAGCCAAATGTTGAAAGTTATTATAAATTATGTACATTACATTCCCTTTAATACAGTTTAGTTATAACATAGTGATTAATTTTCTCGGTAATTATAACTACTTTAAAGTGGTTTTATTTGAAAATATTTGTATTCATGTTAATTTACAATTTTTCAAAATTACTAAATACTTACCATATTTTTTATAGCAATTTTTAAACTTAAATGGTAACGCAAATATTTCTTTACTTTTTAAATTTGGAATAATGTACTAAACATTTTGACAGTTTTTCTAATATTATTACTGATATGTTTCGTGGCTATGTGAATGATACTGATAAGAGTAACACTATATTAGACAAATTCCACTTGACCGGTGAATGTATTGATATAATTAATGGTAATCATTAATTGGACTTAATTTATAATTTAATAATATTTGTTCTTACCTGGGATGGTTTATTCTTAATATACAAAGTTAGTTGGTAGAGCTTTGGAAAAAAAAATAAAAGTAAAAGTTTGAATATTTTCTAGTATTTTACAATATCATAAAGCATACTTCATTGCTTTGTGGAAAAGTATTGTTGGTGACACAGTTTGCTTTAATTGTATTGTATTTGCTTAATATAATTTAAAGTTAAATTAAAATGGAATAGTATTTTTGTAAAAATTCGTCGCATTTACAATTTTTTTGAGCTTTTGTGTAGTAGCAGTACAGGCTCTTTGTATTAAAATATATATATATATAAATTAATAAATTATTTTTAAATTAATGATTTCATTTAGGCAGGATAACACTTGAACGATTTAAGCATCTAATAAAAAGTGGAAGTAAATATTACTTAGAGACACTAAATGAATTCACTAAACACTTCAATCAAAATATTTGAACACCGAAGACGCCGTTGTAATAATAATTTTAAATTTTAGTCTGCTGTTTGCAAAATTTATAAATGTTACATTCAAACCTTCAACGGAATATAATAAAATTTATTTAAAATATGAAACTTTTGAAATTTTTTTTTGTATTTGAGTATTACAAGAGTAATGAGTACAGTGGACTGTGTAAGGTACTTGCCTAATGAAATGTATTTATTTATTTGAGTATTACGCCTAACAAGAATAATAGCTGTAGTTCTAGACTTTCGGGGATCATTCCAAAAATGTGTAACGTCTGGAATTATAAGAAGTCGTGCAAAAAGATATTATCAAGGATAGGTGTTCAAGATTAACTTTTAATTAGAAGCATGTATAAAAAAAATACAGACATTATTGTCTAAACAATTATAAAAAAAAAAAAATTAAATTAACGCTATTTGAAACCGTAGACAATTTAGTACTGCCATAATTCCCATTCTATAAGTGCTGATAAGAGATTAGGGATATCGGTAAGCTAACCTAACCATTTGACAATAAACTTACCCTCCAGTCGGTGGGTTAAACGTGCACCGTGACTGGAGAATATTCGGGTTTCCACTAACCGGAATATCCCCTAAAATTCCCACTACCACTTCATCAACGGCATTTAGTGGCATAGCATTTCTTTTGCCGCCCCCAGTTTTCCGTAATTCGGAATTAATTTTCGCTTTTTTTTCTTGGCATCTGCCTTCATATTATGCCAAGTCTAAAAACATTATTTATATTTTATTAATTATACAACGGTATATAAAGTATAATAAGTTATTTTATTTATACTATTCTTTACAAACAGCCTGTATTGAACATTAGTAATATTATACTAGTGTAGCTCAGTAGGCTCTCTATTCTAATTACATTAGAGAATTAAAAAAACTGTTTTTTAAAGTCTTCGTGTCGTGCTCATGTATAAGCATATTAAAAATAATAATAATAATGAGTAATTCTAAACGTCTATAATATAACTTTAATACAATATTATTTATGATGGTTGATTTAAATTAATTTAAAAGTTAACACAAGTTAAAATTAAACACAAGCGCCCTATTAGTATAATTTGGTCGCGTGTTAAATATTTTACGAATATTTTCTTGATCATTAGATAATTAATAATATATACTTACACGTCGCCAAGCTTTCCAGTTATTTTTTGGACCTTCCATAACGTTCAACTGCTCCGTTATTTCCGTCCATAGAGCTACGGACTTTGCTTGCGTGAAGCTTGCTGAGTGTATTTCCTTCACGAGGTCGGGATGCAGAACCATAAAGTCAGCCAAGGACTTTTTTGTTCTGCATTGACTGGTTCGGACTTCTTTTTTTTTAATCTGCCATTTTAAAATGTAATATACCTACGAGGCGTGCTGTTGTGTGTCGTGTACAAAGCTTACCGTTTTAACTTTTCTTACACTAATCAATTGAAATATTCTTTCTCATAAAAATAAATTGTACAATTGACATTTGCGATTATCAGCTTATCGAAATACCCATTATTATCATATTACCATTGCATGACACTACAATAAAAAAAAAACGGTTTTTACACAACTATTTTAGTTTTTGGTATAGAATTGTATGCTTTGACTTTGATATTAGTGTTATTTGATATTTATCGTACGACATAATTATTGGTATTTTTTAATTAAATTGTATGCAAGTTGGCTATGTCTCTTTCGTATGATAAATAATTGGTGCAGTATTATTATTTTATGGTTGTAATTAGTTTTTTAAAGTAACAGTTATAGAACACACATTTTTGAATTAGATTTCTAAACACAATTTAGTTGTTCATGTTTATAATCTGCTGTAATAAAATACAAAACTGCTTTCTTATTTTAAAGTAGTTTATGTTAAACATAAACGGATCATTCATTAAGTATATAAAAATATATTTTTTAATAATTGTAATTTTCAGTTCTCGTTTTTAAAAACATTAACAATTAAGTAATTTGGAAACTATTATGTTTCGAATATAACCTAAGTGGATATAATATATATTATTTAAAAAATGTTATTCAAACTATACAGAAAACGTTTTATTAAAGTATGACGCAAAGGCAATGTTATTTAAAAAAAACAGAACGTTCATGTTTGTAATAAACACCAGAGGCGGATAAAACATTTCGCTAGCAAAAAATAAATTTTGGTTAGCGTTGTATGAAAAAATTGTCCAATATTTCAAATATCCCTGATATTAGTAGGACCAAATAAGTCAAAATGATAAATTTATAAAAATACAGAGCTTTAAATCAGAAAATCATTGATGAATAAGTTTCCTACAAAGAAACCCGTTCATATCACTAATCATATTGGGCATAAGATGTAGTTTGTGATACCTATAATTTTAGGTAATTAAATAACTTTTCCAAAAATACAAAGTTGGTCCAACTAAAACTATAGTTAATATAAGGGTAAAACATTCTGATGGCTGAGGCTTAACACCTTTGGTATTGTAAAATAAAACTTAATTAGAATCATGTCAAAGTTAAGTTGCGCCAATATAAAACAATATTGTTCCTGGAAAGAACTCTTCGTGTCGTCCCAAAATACCTAATTTAACTTTAACGAGTCCTAATATTTTTTTTACAAAATCAAACTATGTTAAGCTATCAGAAAGGTTTTGTAATGTTTAGATTATTAGTTTTTGCTGTAGGTCGGTCGTAATCGGATTTTATAAAATGCATTTTCATTCATTGACAAGTTGGTGTCTAGCACTCAATTCCTGATGTGGCAGATGGAATAGTTTTTATTTCTCAATTAATCCTAAGTATTCCAGATCATATGGGTACGAGTAAAAATACTTTTTTGTAAAAATCAAGTTTTTGAGTAAAGTAGTGTAGGGCGCTAAAAGAATTACCCAGTATAATATACAGACTTCATAAACACATGCTTTGCAGGTAAGCGACAAAACAGCAAAGTGTGTTTAAATGATTTATATTATAATTTACAAAAAAATAACACTACAATATAAAATATTTGTATCGGACGTGCGTCATTGGAAGGTGTTGTTCAAATTATTACACTGGCGCCTAAAAAACCAACACTATGTTTTTGTTTAAGGTTTATGCTGTATTTTTAGTCGAAAATATGTTAGCAAAGACAAATCTTTGAATAAATAAACCCATTTTCCGATCGTATTACGTCAATACACGAACAATATTTGGTTTTATTATTCATATTAATATGCACAAAAATCCATAGTATCAACATTTTAAGCAAAAATATTTTTGCAAATATTTATTGTATTATTTACATTAGGTGTTTTAATTCCCTATAAAACGGAGAATTGTAGAGAGGACGGATTATTCGTTTTGTTTCTGAGTTATAGTTAAACGTATAGGAGATAAAATACAAATATAATGTATTTCAAACTTACTTTTTTCTTATTAGCTTCTGTTTTGATTGCCAATGTAGTGGGACCGGAAACAGGCAAAAGGAGCGACATCGACATAAATGTAAACTTAATTTAATCATGTTTAATTAAATGAATAAATAATGGAATTTTTTTTGGGGTTTGTGAGTTTATTCAAATAAACATTCATTGAAACAATGCCAATGTCTACCTTGTATCAGACGATGCGTTTTCGATGACTGTTTAATGTACATTTTTTCTGGTTATAAATGTATTTAAAATGTGTAAGCAGTTTCTTATGTAACGATTTGTAGTAATATTAGTATAATTACATTTTAGGATAATCCATTTTCATACGAGAAACTTGAGAACGAGGTAGTTTTTTTAAAACAATAATAAATACTTAATACTAATATATTGGTCAAGTAGTATAGTTAGTAGTGATTAATTAATTAATAAAGAAATTAATATAATTCAATTTTAGCTTATGCGTAGAATTTTTGAAAGCCTTTTAATCAAAAATGGTATAGCAAATTATGATGATAGCAGTACTATTAATCTGGAAATATTTCGTGACTTCTTGAACGATTCTGAAATGAGTGAATATGTATTAAACAATTGCCGTGCGAGCGGATCCCGTAACAATGTCACTGGTAAGCATTAACTATAATTAACTTATCATTAAATAATATTCTTTCTTAGCTTTGAAGCGGACGTCATGTGCAACATTGTTTAGAGTAAAACATAACTATGTAAAATGCAGTTATAGTTTAATCAGTAAATGGGATTACATTTACCGGTTTAACTATAGCTGCAGTAGATCATCAGATATTGTATAAGGCGGTGGGTTAAGTTGAGGAGGGATGGAAAGGGGATAAAAGCTCACTTTTTTTTTATATTAAGCCAAATGTTGAATGTTTTTTTAATAATGTATATTACATTCCCTTCAAGACAGTTTAGCTATGCATAGTGATCAATTTTCTTGGTAATTATAATTATTTTAAAGTGGTTTTATTTGAAAATATTTGTATTTCTGTTAATTTACAATTTTTATTATTTACAATTTACGATTATTTTATCATAAACCAACTCAATACCTCATAGAATTTAATAAGAAATTAATTTTTTTTTAATGTTTTTTTATAAATATGATATCTATTTTTCACCATTTTTTACCCACTCTCAACTTAGTTCTTTTATAGCAATTTTTAAACTTAAATGGTAACGCATATATTTCATAATTTTTTAAATTTAGAGTAATGTACTAAAAATTTTGACAGTTTTACTAATATTTTTAATTGAGAATTATTTGCTGAAAATAAATACTGTTCGATAACCAGTTTTGGATAAGTCTATATATCGTTATTAAAGTTCATAATTTAAGACCGGAGGTAGAGTGTGGTAGAGTATTTCTAACAGATACAAAAAATACTTCACTTAAATAAAAAAGGCACTGTTTTTGTAAAACTTCGTCGCATACAAAATGTTTCTGGGCTGTTGAGCAGTTTGCAACTGCTCTTATCATTCTAAAAATATATATATATAAATTTGTAATTTTTTTTTTCAACTGAAAAAATGTTTTTTTTTTAGGCCAAATAACACTTGAAGAATTTATGCATTTAATAAGAAGTGCAACTGAACGTTCTAAATTTAATACAGTAAATGAATTTACCCAATCATTGAAGATACGTGGTAAATAATAAAATGTAGTTAAAATATTAAAATAATGAAATGTATTTATTTATTTGAGTATAATGCCTAACACGAATAATGAGTAAAGTGGAAGGTAGTAGGTACTTGCCTAATATGGCTGTTAATATCTGTAGTTCTAGACTTTCGGGGATCATTCCAAAAACGTGTAACGTCTTTTAAATAAGAGAGCACGCGAAAGGATATCAAGGATATTATGCATAGACTTTATTTTATTCTGTAATTCTAATATGAACAATAATTTATTCTTCTCATTTCGATGTTTTATGATATTTTCTTTAAAGTAGTTTTACGAAACTTAGATCTACCATGGTTCTACTTTTCAGACCTAGAATCCTAATGCGTGTACCGACTGTATACATTTTCTAAATAATAATTAATTTAATTATTTTTAAAAAACTAATTTAATTTTTTTTCGTTTGGCAGTAACATCTTAATATATGAAAAATTAAGCAACAGATTTCGGTTTTAAAAAATTACTAACACTGTCAATTATAAATAATCGTTTTCTTTGGATTTTTCTAGAATTTTCCAGCGTCGGTTAAACCAAGACGATTAAATAGTCGGCATACGTAAAACTCACAAAATAAAATGGCAAATATACCGTACAATAGTATATATAAGAGTACATAAACATTTTTCATACCATCCATTCATAGGCAACATTTTGGTAAGCCCTAAAATTGTGGTTAAGATAAAAATCCACTTCCTGTAAGAAAGAGGGGATTGGTTTAATTTAGGTTTGAGGCTATTTTTAGAAATGGTAGGCATATCAACTATTAAATGCTTGATTTGAAAATTTTTCTGGAAGTGTTAGCAAGTCCAAGTGGAATAATCTTTAATTTTCTTTTTTCGTCACTCAATTTCAAGGGTGAAAGGAGGAAACTATACAAGTTTACTTGTTAGTTTACAGGGTTACATGTTAATACATAACATGTAACTCTTTTATATATCTATCACATAAATTATTTGATCATAAGTTAAGGTCTCCGTGTATATTACAAATAGATAGGGCGAATAATCAAAAATATCGATGTAAAATCAATATTTTCGCGTCAAGGATAATACTTTTTCATTTTACTTCGTATCCAAAATAAACAACGAAACAAAAAAAACAAGTAAATATATCATTATCACGGTAGAACGTACAGCGAAGAACGAAAAATATGTTCTTTAAAAGTGTACAAAAATGAGCAAATAAGTTAACAAAATGTGTTTCGATGATTCATATTATAATTTACAAAAACAAATGACGGTATGATGGTTCTAGCAGTCATGTTTAGAAAATTATTTAAATATATTTTTTTTTAATTCATGAATCGAAGCAGATTATAACTTATGAAAAAAAAAATAGGAACATTCCTTATTTTTAAGTCAAAAACAATGCCAATTTCGATCAGGCTTTTTTTATATTTAAGTTGGTGATCTATAAAATATGGTCACATGAATAAATTTAAAAAATCGTAAAAAGTTTTTGTGGACTCACTGAAAAAAATACCTATAAAAACATTGGTTTGTAAATCCATTTTTTTTCTTCGCGTCGATGTCAGAACAATAATTTTGCTCATAGTTAAGAAGACAAAGACAAAAGATAAACCATTTTAAGCTAATGTATTTTTAAAGCTATAAGTCTGAGACATTCATTTTTTTTGCCAATTTTTTAATAGCTTTTACATTTTATAATGTAAAGATGTTTATTAGAAAAGGTAGGCAATATTTTTTTAATGTCCAATATCAATTTCAACTCGATTCAATCGTTTTCTCGAAGTGTTAGCAAGTCTAAGTTAAATAATCATCCATATTCTTTGGGTTTTTTCTATTTCAAAGGGTGAAGGACTGAACTTTTATTAACTTTTGACCTTTTAGTATACCAAATGAATAAAGTATATTATCAATAGTTAAGGTGTCTATCTCTATAGTTGTAGTTCAACCAGGTAGGGCGAAAAATAAAAAATTTAATTTTAAACATGCCAATGTTAAGTTACGCCAATATAAAATAATATAGTTCCTGGAACGACCTATGTATTTATATCGTCCCAAAAGACCTAATTTAACTACAACTTATTCTTATTTTTTTTTTTTACTTATTGTTAGCTGAAAACTCAGTTAAGCTCTCAACAAAGTTTTGTAATATTACGATTATTATTTTTCTGTAGGTCAGACGTAATCGGATTTTATAAAATGTATTTTCATTAATTGACAAGTTGGTGTCTAGAATTTTATTCCTGATGTGGCAGGTGGAATAGATTTTATTTCACAATTAATCCTATTTTTCATTTTAGAATTAGAAATAAAGAACTAAATATAAATATAACAAACAACAAATTGATCTCTTAGTTTAAATCGTACCTATGCATATTTTATAACCTATTTAATATACAGACTTTATAAACATAAGCTTTGCAAATGAGCAACGTCATTGGAAGGCGTTGTTTAGATTATTGTACTGTGATACGGGTGGCGGGTGCCTCGCCGTATCGTGATTTGAATAACAAAGCTGATGTTCGTTATCACGGTTGTTCTTTTGTTTTTATAGAGGTTATGTAATACAATAGGTATTGGTGAAGACGGGACTCACAGAAGTTCGCCACTCACGCTGGGGAAACGGGCACTAGATACCTCACAGATAGAGAGCTATATTATCCTACCCGTTATACACAGGTGTGGGGGATATGATGGGGTGACTAGGCGGAAAGTAGGGCAGCTTGAATAAGCGTCTACGGACTCTAGTCACCGGGAGAAGAGTGCAACTCAAATAAGTGACTCTGTATTCGTCCTAAGAAGGACGGTTTTCGATGTGGAATCGTCGGTGGAGCCGTGGGCACGTCTGCTGCGGGTACCGCTACTGTCGATTCCGCTGCTGCTGGGGCCGCTGTGGTTAGTGTGGCTACTGCTGGTGCCGCTTGCTATTGCTGGTAGTGGAGTGTTGAGACGTTGGCGGTTGATTGTAGAGGTGTCGGCTTCCAATTGATCTAGTGTATGATGATACCCGGATGGTTGGAAGAAGACTGTGTCGATTATGGGGTTGCGGTCGGCATTTATGTTTGTTTAATAAAAACCCCGCAATCCCATTGGCCGATTTTTTGTTAGTGGTTTTTTGGTCGTCTGGTTTACTATTCGGTACGGATCGTTGGTGGCCTTGAGAAAGGCCGTTTTAGATGTTGTGTTGCTCCGTTACAACTGGCGCCTAAAAAACCAACACTATGATTTTTTGATCAGGGAAAATGTTGTATTTTTGTTGAAAATATGTAAGCAAAAACATAAGTCGAATTAAATAAACCTATTAACCGACTACTTCATGTTAATACACGTACCAAATGTAGTATTATTATTCATATTGATATGCGCAAAAAATCCACAGTATCAACATTTTAAGCAACCATATTTTTGCAAATATATGTATTATTTACATTAGGGGTTTTAATTCCCCACAAAACTGAGAATTGAACGGACTATTCGTGTGTTTTTGAGTTATAGTTAAATTTATAGGAGATAAAATAAAATTATAATATATTTAAAACTTTTTTTTTGTAGCTTCAGCAGCCAAAGAGGTGGGACCAGAAACACGCGACCGAATAAAGACCAGAATAAAAGGGGTAAAGTTAAATTGCTAAATTTATTACTTTTGTATTGGTTTTTTTTTTAATTTTCTTTTCTAGCAAATAAGATGATTTATGATAAATTTTAAGATAATAAATTTCACTTTAGTTTATAAACTATGAATAGTGAAATATATATTTTTTTTTATATTTTCTATTAGTTAGCAAGTGATATTCTATACTATTCATTAAAACCTAATATTGATAATTTAACACAATTATTACCTTATTATATACGAGTATGTATTTCATATTAACCATATCGGCATTTAATATTTACATCATAGAACAATTTTTTTTAGAAAATTATTAAATTATATAAATGTTTAATGACTAATTTAATGATTTCAAACAAGGGTCCGAATAATTTATTGGGCAAAAATAACCTTTTACCCACTACATTTTTTTTTAACGTGTTAAATGATTATTTGATTGTGTTAAAAATATTTAATTTTAATTAAAACAATATTTTTGTGTTAGCGAATAAATTGTGATTTTATCCCGGATCTTTGGTATTATATATCATTAAAAAGTCATTCCTGAATAAATGTTTGCCATGATTAAATGAATGAACAAATTATAGAATTTTATTTAAATAAACATTTATTGAAACAATGTCGATCTCAAGTCACACGACGCGCCGTTGATGATTGTTCTCTGCATTTAAATTGTGCAATCAATTTCTAATGTAACAAAATATAATGATATTAGTATATTTTCATTTTAGGACAAGGATTTCATTTCGTTATTAAATGATGCTTTAGATGCCAAACCTGTAAATGGCCCATTTAAAACTGAGGATCTTGAGAACGAGGTAGATTTTTTTGAAAATAATACTAAGTATAATTTTAAAAAATGTATTATAAGTAAAAAGTTAGTCGGTCTTCAATGACTATTCGATTTATACAGTTCTCTGGTTTAAATTAATTTTAATTGTGTAATCTGTTTCTTATGTAATGAATTTTAATGATATAAGGATATTTAAATTTTAGCTTATGTGCACCATTTTTGAAACACTTATACGTACAACTGGTTTAAATTATGAAGCTCATAGTACTATTAATCTGGATATGTTTCGTGGCTATGTGAATAATACTGATATGAGTAACACTTTATTAAACGAATTCCACTTGACCGGTGGATTTTTGGCTTTGAATAAAGGTAATCATTTAATAATATTTGTTCTTACCTTCGATAGTGTGAGTATGAATGGGATATGAGCTCACACTTTTTCTTAATGATAATATATCAAGCCAAATTTTGAATGTTATTTTAAATAATAGATATTACATTCCCTCCAAGACAATTTAGTTGTACACAGTGATTAATTTTCTCAGTAAATAATAACTATTTTAATGTTTTTATTTTTAAAAATATTTTTAGTATTTTCCACAGCTCTAATAATTTTTTGATCCTAAATAGTAACTTATATATTATACTACATTTTTAAATTGAGAATAATTTGCGTATAAATTTGACTGGCCGATGACTAGTTTTGGACAAATACTTTTCAAGTTATTAGACTTAAATGTTTGGGATGGTTTATTCTTAATATACAAAGTTAGTTGGTAGAGCTTTGGAAAAAAAAAGTAAAAGTTTGAATATTTTCCAGTATTGTACAATATCATAAAGCATACTTTGTGGAAAAGTATTGTTGGTGATACAATTTACCTTCATTGTATTGTATTTGCTTAATATAATTTAAAGTTAAATTAAAATGGAATAGTATTTTTGTAAAAATTTGTCGCATTTACAATTTTTCTGAGCTGTTGCGCAGTAGCAGTACAGGCTCTTTGTATTCTAAAAAAAATATATTATAAATTAATAATTTATTTTAGACAGGATAACGCTTGAACAATTTAAGCGTATAATAAGAAGTGGAAGTAAACATTACAAAGAGACAGTAAATAATTTCACTAAAAAATTCAATCGAAATATATAGAACACCGAAGACGCTGTTGTAATAATAATTTTAAATTTTAGTCTGCTGTTTGCAAAATTTACAAATGTTACATTCAAACCTTCAACGGAATTTAATAAAATGTATTTAAAATATGAAACTTTTGAAATTTTTTTTTTGTATTTGAGTATTACAAAAGTAATGAGTACTGTAGTTCTTGATTTTCGGGGATCATTCCAAAAATGTGTAACGTCTGGAATTATAAGAAGTCGTGCAAAAGATATTATCAAGGATAGGTGTTCAAGACTATCCTTTAATTAGTAGCTTGTATAAAAAAATACAGACATCATTGTCTTAGCAATTATAAAACAAATTAAAATACCACTATTATTGACTATAGACAAATTAATAATAAATTTCCTATTCTGTAGGAAAAAATCTTAATAAATAACATCGAATTGAATCTAAGAAATCAGTATGTTCTTGTAGTATCAAGTGGGTCCCTGTACCCTCTCCTCCCATTAGTGACATGCTCTGGTGTCAGAAAGGTGAACCAAATTATATAAGCTCAATTTTTTTTTCTTTATCGATTTTTAGTAATTCTAGTTGAATATTTAAATATCAGAAAAGTTATCTGGTATCATTTAAATGTTAGAAAACAGTGGCAATACTGAATCTGTAATTTTTCAATTGGTTGTACTAAAATGAAAATAGGTATAATCAAACGTCAATTAGCTTCTCGTTTAAGGATTGTGATTTTTAGTGTTATATTTTGTTTAACCGTCTTGAATCAGCTATTCTATGTCCGTGTTCGCTGTGTCATGTATTTATTTTGACCTTGTGCGGGATGAGTGAGACGGCTTACGACTAAAGATCCGAGTTCTTCTTAATATATTGACGAATCTTAGTTCTGGGAAAATATTTTTTAGTCAATAACCTTTTCAGAACCGTATTTCATTTATTATTTTAATTTTAGCTTACAATGTTATTTTGCTCGGGAATTATTGGTTTCGTGTACCTACTAATACTTCAAACGCTCTACTGAAATTATTGTTATTACTAGACAGCGTATAAAATAGTCTCTTAATAATTTCCATTAAAACCAGTAAAATATGTTTTTAGGGCGCTTAAAGAATTACCCAGTATAATATACAGACTTCATAAACACATGCTTTGCAGGTAAGCGACAAAACAGCAAAGTGTGTTTAAATGATTTATATTATAATTTACAAAAAAATAACACTACAATATAAAATATTTGTATCGGACGTGCGTCATTGGAAGGTGTTGTTCAAATTATTATACTGGCGCCTAAAAAACCAACACTATGTTTTTGTTTAAGGTTTATGCTGTATTTTTAGTAGAAAATATGTGAGCCAAGACAGGCCTCTGAATAAATAAACCCATTATCCGATCGTGTTACGCCAATATTTGGTTTTATTATTCATATTAATATGCACAAAAATCCATAGTCTCAAAATTTTAGGCAAAAATATTTTTGCAAATATATATTGTATTATTTATATTAGGGGTTTTAATTCACTATAAAACTGAGAATTGTAGAGAGGACGGATTATTCGTTTTGTTTCTGAGTTATAGTTAAACGTATAGTAGATAAACTACAAACATAATGTATTTCAAACTTACTTTTTTCTTAGTAGCTTCTGTTTTGATTGCCAAAGTAGTGGGACCGGAAACAGTCAAAATGGAGGACTTCGACGTAACGGTAAACTTATATTGGTCAAAATATTAATTTTGTAATGTCGCTTACAATATTTATTATTTTCATAGATTAACGGGTATGGTGCTTTATAAATTATTCAAAATTAACAAATTAACTTTTGACGCAAATAAAATGATTAATTTTAATGATCTAAAAATCTGTAAAGGGAAAAAATGTAAATTTATCTTGGTTAATTGAATGAATAAATAATGGAATTATTTTTTTTATGTTTGTGAGCTTATTCAAGTAAACATTTATTGAAACAATGCCAATGTCTAGCTTGTATTCGACGATGCGTTTTTGATGACTGTTTATTGTATAATGTTCTCTGGTTGTAATTGCATTTAAAATGTGTAGGCAGTTTCTTATGTAAGGAACTGTAATAATATTAGTATAATTACATTTTAGGATTTGACAATTCCAACCGAGAAGCTTGAGAACGAGGTAGTTTTTTTATAACAACAATAAATACTTAATACTAATATATTGGTCAAGTAGTATAGTTAATAGTTATTAATTAAATAATAAAGTAATTAATATAATTCAATTTTAGCTTATGCGTAGAATTTTTGTAAGCATTTTAAGCGAAAATAAACTACCATATAATAAGTACAGTACTATTAGTGTGAACATGTTTCGTGAATACTTGAAAGATTCTGAAATGAGCGATCGTGTATTAAACATTTTCCGTGCGAGCGGATCCCTTAATAATGTAACTGGTAAGCATTAACTATAGTTAATTTATCATTAAATAATATTTGTTCTTAGCTTCGAAGCGCACGTCATGTGCAACATTTTTTTGAGTAAAACATAACTATGTAAAATGCAGTTATAGTTTAATCAGTAAATTGGATTACATTAAGTTTAGAATAATGTACTAAACATTTTGACAGTTTTACTAATATTTTTAATTAAGAATAATTTGCTGAAAATAAATACTGTTCGATAACCAGTTTTGGATAAATGTATGATGTTATTAAAGTTCATAATTTAAGACCGAAGGTAGAGTGTGGTAGAGTATTTCTAACAGATAAAAATAATACTTCAATAAAATAAAAAAGGCAAAGTTTTTGTAAAACTTCGTCGCATACAAAATATTTTTGGGCTGTTGTGCAGAAGCCAGTTTGCATCTGTTCTTTTCAATCTAAAAATATATATATAAATAATAATTTATTTTTTCAACTGAAAAAAAATTTTTTTATTTAGGCCAAATAACACTTGAAGAATTTATGCATTTAATAAGAAGTGCAACAGAACTTTCTCGATTTAATACAATAAATGAATTTACCAAACCATTGAAGCTAAATGTTGGAACACCGAAGGAGTAATAATTATAAATTAGTCTGCTGCTTGCAACGTTTATAAATGTTACATTCAAACCTTCAACGGAATATAATAAAATGTATTTAATATATTAGACTAATGAAATGTATTTATTTATTTGAGTATTACGCCTAACAAGAATAATAGCTGTAGTTCTTGGCTTTCGGGGATTCCAAAAATGTGTAACGTCTGGAATTATAAGAAATCATGCGAAAGGATATTATCAAGGATAGGTGTTCAAGACTATCCTTTAATTAGTAGCTTGTATAAAAAAATACAGACATCATTGTCTTAGCAATTATAAAACAAATTAAAATACCACTATTATTGACTATAGACAAATTAATAATAAATTTCCTATTCTGTAGGAAAAAATCTTAATAAATAACATCGAATTGAATCTAAGAAATCAGTATGTTCTTGTAGTATCAAGTGGGTCCCTGTACCCTCTCCTCTCATTAGTGACATGCTCTGGTGTCAGAAAGGTGAACCTAATTGGCTACAAGTGAGAAGCGTTTTGAGCTGATAAGATGTAAGTGATAAGAAACAAGGAAGACCATAAATAAGGTGAACCATGGAAATTTGAATCCCTCTGTAAGTGTCACAAATACCTATAAACGGATGACTAAGTGTTTTAGGTATTCTTCGATAACAATATGTAACCAAAAAAATATCGGTGTTTAAAAAAACTAAATATCTGTAACTATTGTTTGTGAACACTTGAATTAATGTATGATTATTTGTCGTACTATTTGTATACTAACACCTGGACCAGATCCCAATAGTTTAGATTTTAGCCCCACTATAATAATTCAGAAGAACGTCTCCTAATGACGCACGACCGATACAAACATGTTATATTGTAGGGTTTTTTGTTGTTTACTTGCACAGCTTATGTTGATAAAGTTTGTATATTATATACGTCGTATATACATAGGTACATTTTACACTAACTCATCGATTTGTTAGTTTATCTCATTACCTATTTGATTTTCATACGTTATGCATAGACTTTATTTTATTTTGTAATTCTAATATGAACAATAATTTATTCTTCCCATTTCGATGTTTTATGATATTTTCTTTAAAAAAGTTTTAAGAAACTTAGATCTACCATGGGTCTACTTTTCAGACCAAAAATCCTAATGCGTGTATCGATTGTATATTTTTTCTAAATAATAATTAAATATATGTATTCCTTTTAAGAGTAAATTAATTAAATTATTTTTAAAAAAATAATTATTGGAACAATAATTTAATTTTTTTTTATTTGGCAGTAAAATCTTAATATATGAAAAATTAAGCAACAGATTTCTGTTTAAAAAAATTACCAACACTGTAAATTATACATTATCATTTTCTTTGGATTTTACTAGAATTTTTTCAGTGTTGGTTAAACCAAGACGATCAAATAGTCGTCATACGAAAAACTCACAAAATAAAACGGCAAATATACTGTGTAATATTATATAAATAGTATATAAACATTCTTCATACCATCCATGTTAGGCAACATTTCGGTAAGCCCTAAACTTGTGGTTAAATTTAAAAAAAAAAAACAAAAAAATGTCCACTTCCTGTAAGTCTCCATGTATAGTACAAACAGATATCATTGTAAAATCGCATCAAGGATCTTCGCGTCAAGGATATTATTTTTTTCATTTTACTTCGTATCCAAAAAAACAACGAAACAAAAAAGAACAAGTAAATATATCATTATCATGGTAAAACGTACCGCAAAGAACGTAGAATATGTTCTTTAAAACTGTACAAATATAAGCAATTCAGTTTACAAAATGTGTTTCGATGATTCATGTTATAATTTACAAAAACAAATGTCAGTATGAAGTTTCTAGCAGTCATGTTTGGAAAATTATTTAAATATATTTTTTTTAAATTCTTAAATCGAAGTAGATTATAACTTATGAAAAAAAAAATAGGAAAATTCCTTATTTTTAAGTCAAAAACAATGCCAAATTCAATCAGGCTTTCTGAATTTTAAAGTTGGTGATCTATAAAATAATATGGTCACATGAATAAATTAAAAAAATCGTAAAAAATTATTGTGGTTTCACTACCTGAAAAAAATACCTATAAAAACATTTGAAGGGCTGCAGGAAAAAAGATCAATGTCATTTTTTTTTTTAAATTAGATTTTGGTATCAAATTATTTGTATTGATGTATTGTATCTTTTATGCGCTCGAACCAGGAAAAAAAACAAATTACTCGAGAGTAACGACCGCCGGAAGTTTAGGCATACAGGCAAAATGTATTACATTTTGAAATTAATAACATGATTTTCTCAGGATGTTAAAAAATTGACATTGATCTTTTTTCTCCGCAGCCGTTCATTTGTTTGTAAATCCATTTTTTTTCTTTGCGTCGATGTCAGAACAATAATTTTGTTCATAGTTAAGAATACAAAGACAAAAGATAACGCAACGTAAACATTTTTAAGCTATTGTAATTTTAAGGCTATAAGTCTGAGACATTCGGTTTTTTTGCCAATATTTTAATAGCTCTTACATTTTATAATGTAAAAATGTTGAACCAGGTTTTAGTATATAAACGTTTTTCATACGATCTATGTTAGGCAAAATGCGGTAAATCCTAAAGTTGTATCATTGGAGGCAAGCTATTGCTTGATAAGGTGAAAGTGAACTTATAGGCACACAAATTCCGAAAATTGAGAATAGATTTTGAAACATTCACAATTAGTTAGACTCAAGATGTCACAGTGCGGTATCTGCTCAATGTGATTGTAATAATTATTATTGTGTGTAGTATGGTTTGGTGTTAAAGGTTAAAGGTTATTTGACTGAAATTGAGTTTTTCAAATTTCTAATAATAAAATTATTCTAAAACAATCATAGTTCATAAATTTGATGGTTTCAATTCAATTTAAATTATAGCTTGATTAATAACTAATTTACCCTTTGGCGAGTGAATAGTTTTAACCGTTTTACCACTTCATCCCTTAAATTTGTCATTATAAATTATTAATGTAACCAATTACATAAAATCGATTTTTTTTCTTTATCGATTTTTAATAATTCTAGTTGAACTTTTAAATAACAGAAACATTAGCTGGTATCATTTAAATGTTAGAAAACGGTGGGAACACTGAATCTGTAATTTTTTCAATTGGTTGTACTAAAATGAAAATAGGTATAATGAAAACGTCAATTAGGTTCTCGTTGATTATTTTAGCTTCGATGATTTTTTTTATCATGGGTGTTTTTCCTGAAGTTGCTTAGATGAAAAAACATTTTAACCTTTAAATTAAGATTTTGCAAAAATGCCCTACACCTATGTCCTTTTTATAAATAGGCTATATCAAGGGGATATCAAGTCCTCTTAATAAGATTTATCTCGGAGTAGATACGGTATACATATTTATAATAATAATAATAATACTTGGTGTATTATCTTTGGCCGCGTTTTATTCGCCCGGGAATACGCCTGGATGGAAATAGGATCGCACATGCATATATATACATATATATATATATATATATTTATTTATACAAACTTATATAGATGGACATTTTACACACGGTATACACGTTGCTTGGTGCGACCGAGAGAATTGAATTGAACGAAATCCAAGAACTCGGTGGGAGCGGTTCCGAGAAACGAGTCGACGACGAAGGAACAACACAGCAGTTGGGAAAACGGTCGTCGTCCGGTTGGGGAATAGGCCGCGCACTTTGCCGCAAGACGGAGACGGTGGGGACGGAGATGATGATGATGATGGTGGTGGCAGTGGTGGTAGTTGTGGCGGGGGCGGTTAGTGTCGAGGGAAATTATTATTCTACGAAAATCCGTCATAATTGAATAAACCTAACCTAACCGCCCGTCCGAGCCGTCGACCAGCAAGCTGGGCTTATGTTTATTATCCTTGCTAATAACACTACTATTGTTGTTGTTATTATTATCTACACAAGTGTACGATGCGGGAGCATGTCCAGTCGCGAGGGGAGGTGAAAAACGACTAGGGCGTCAAAAACACTATCCTCCAAAATATTATTATTAGTGCGAAAAAGGGTAAATATACGCCTAAATCTGCGCACCACCCCAGTTTGTTTTGACTCTTTGGTGGACAAGAAAAAGTCCCAAAAAAAGAAGACCCTTAAGTGGACGTTGTACTCCAAAATGTCAATTTAAAGGTTAAAACTGAGATGTGTAAATATTAGTTCAGTAATTAGGACTAAATTAGGAAATAGTCCTAAATTTAGTAATTATGAGTTTATTTAGGAATTTAGTAATTAGGAGAAAATATCCTTATAAAAAAAATCTAGATAATAAATACTTGAGTTTTTTTTCATAGCACTTAAATAATTTTTTTTTATAATAAGAGTTAATTCTTATTTTTCTTGGCATTATGTTTTAGAACGGGGTTTTTTTTCGGAACAAAATCTAAAATGCATATAGTTTTTTGGATTTTTTCGCCGTCCGAATTTGGTCTCACAATCAGCCTTTGGTGTTTGAGTCTCCAAATGTCATTTTTATCTTGCACGTTGTTCGCAGCTTTGGTGGTGATTTATAAAACCATTAGAGGCGTGTAATTGGTGGCTACCATATTGAAATGAATAAAAGTTAGTCAGGATTTAGTTTGGAAAATGTTCTAAAGAAATAATCAACAACATCCGTTGTACATCGTGATGTATTATGAAATACAAGACGTGTACAAAATCTCTGTTTTCGGTGTATTATGAAAACAAATTAACGATTATCTTCCTATATTGATAGCGTTGCCCGTAAACAATTAACCCCGGTGAGGTCAGGTTTGGTTGAAAGTTTTTTAAAATTACATTTTACCCGGTATCTGCGCAGGCCATGAGCCTGGGACCGGGAAAACCGTGTTAGTAAATGGGACCCGTGCATTTACCCCACATGACGTAGGTACACACCGTGCACGTAATGACGATAATGTTATTATGATAATATGCATATGATGGGACGATGGCGGACCAGCAAACACTCTAAATTAACTGCGTTTATTCGTTAGGTCACCCGTTGTCTGTGTGTATAGCATTTCCGACGTCCATTAACGTAAATCGTTTTGTCGT